CGACTGAAAAGTAACTCAGCCCGACTCAGACAACTTACTGGGGTTATATTCGTAAAAATGTCTTCTGTTTTTTTGTTTGGTCACAGAGGACTATATTGTAATTTCATATCCCTTTTAGGTTAGATTTGCATTTGATTCAAGTTGGGGTCTAGTATTGGGGTTAAAACCAAGTTGTGGGTTAGTTTTGGCAAAAACCCCTATAAACTATGTTGAATTTATTCTAAGGGAAACTATATGGTATATGATAGTTATTAGTTATAGCCATCTCATGACCCAACACTGATTTAACGAAGACATAATTATTAGAACGATAGTTCATTTCGAAGTCCACCAACAGACATGCTTGCAAAAAAAAAAGAATGCTATCCCGTTATAAATGACTAAAGAAAGTTTGTAATAGACAGATTTTGATATCATTCAGTTCAAAAACTCGATGAATTTTCCTAGTGAGACAACACTGTTGGGATCCTTGGGTATTTGAGCTTCATCAATTACAGCATACTGCCACGGAATCTGAGAAAGGAAGTCTTGTAGAGTAAAAAAAGAAATGGCTTGTAGAGTCTTCCCCAACCCCATCTGCTCAATCTGTAGATTAGACTCAACATAGATACAACCACACAGATAGCGTTTCAAAATAAAAAGTGGTGGCACCGTGCCTCTCCTACAATCATAATAAAAAAAGTTTAACTAACTGGTTTAAATTTTTGAGTTCAGGTTTGTATCAGAAGAAAAAGGGCGGACAGTTACCGAGAAGTACATTGATGCCGAGAAGATATTTGTATATAAGTCAAGAGACTCCTTTGACTTGGTGAGGCTTTAGTCACCGTGATTCCAAACTCTCTGCAGAGGAAAATGGATCTTAGTTGTATGAATGGAAGTAACATGAAGATATTTTCATGATCTAAACACCAACCTTTTGATGGCATGGAGGAGAGCTTAAACAATTTCCAGATGCATTAGCTGTGCCAAAGAGAAAGATAGGCAATTAGAGATCAAAGAAAAAAAGGTTCACATTTTTTTCATATAAAAAAGAGCTTAGAAACTGAGATAATATTGTTGATGCATCCTAAAGCTGCAAAGCATCCAATAGTGCAAATAAGTCTTGTTGAAACTGAAGTAGCCATATACATTGAATCAGTTGAAGAAACCCTTACTGCTCATCTAAAACACAAAATTAAATTTCTCAATCTTGGATAAAATACAATCTTATCAAACACACAAAGTCATAATTTCACTATATATTAAGAATATATCATATGTGCTCCACTAAGATAAGAAGAAACTAACCGGTCAGAGGAGCGGCGATGATTGACGGCGAAAGCGAAAAAGGGAATGGCGACTGCAAAACATGAACTAATACAAACAAAATCAACAAACATATGTGAAATCAAGAGTACATATGATGATGTTCTACGGAAAGTAAGGTTTACCTTTTAGAGGATTAGAGACACCGCCTTACAGAGCGAAACAACGCATTGAAGCCGATATAATATCAATGGGTCTAAACACAAAGCCATAACTCGGACCTTTTCATATCGTATGGAGAAGTGCAAACGTTAACTCGTCGTTGTTGGACGAAGAAGAGAGACGATCTTCGTTTTATCAATGGAATTAGGGTTGGAGCGCGGAACCAATCTAACCGGGCCGGATACATATTCCAATGTCAGAGCCCAACCACACATACGCAAACGAAGCACATGACGAAAGAATTTAAATGAAACGCTGCACTTTGCAGAACGGGACATGTGTCGCGATGACATCCACGACTTTCTGACGTGGATGCTGAGGTGACGCACTCCAATATGGAGTAAACACTCCTTTATATAATAAGATAAGAAATCAAACTTAGCATTATTAGATATCTATCTAAAATATTAAAACTGAAGTACAAATAGAAATTAACCCTAAGAGTTGCACAAATATTACATGCCTATGCCATTGGTTTTTATGTCTTTTCATTTTCAATTCTTTCGTTAATAAAACCAAACCAGGCGCATGTCAAGGTTGGGCCTTCGACTGGGCCGTTTTTCTTTTATTTTTACCAATCTAAACATTACCTCTCCAACCGAACCTTCGTTTCAACTGGACCGACAACCAATACAATAACGTTTTTTTCTATTTCATCTTCTATTATTACACAAACAAACATGTTAACATATATATTAAACCAACTTGAGTCAATTGTTTACATATCCACCAAGAAAGATATAAGTTGTTTAAATTTTAGCCAAAAGTAGAGATTTTGTAATATAATTTCATCTCGGTTTGATTTCGTTTTCGGTCGCATATTAACGAACCAACATTTAATTGTATATATATTAAGTCGATAAAACCAATAATTATCAACTACACAATCTAAAAGTCAGTTTTTAAAATATAATACTATAACTGATCCTATATTTAAGCAATCACCATTAACTCCAGAAAATCTAGAAATCTTATTCGTTTGTTCCAAAAAAATAACACAACATCCAATTTTTTCCCTTATTCTATGCAACTCCCATATCAATAAACAATATCTATTAATTAGCAAAATCAGAATATTCTCTTATTCGATCTTTCAAAACACGTTTTCCTTATCTGTAAGAACTATATTCTTTTTAATTTTTCTATAATTTAAAAGGAATGTCAATCAAATAACTAAAAAACATATATTACATTTGATTTTCCATTATTATCACAACTAACAAGATATTATGAGCTTACACTAATTAACCTACTCTTCCCAATGGCAACTATATATATCTCATATACGCGTCGTCTACAAGTATCAACACAAACAAAAAAAAACTAAACATGACAAAACTGATAAATTAGATCGATTGACATATCCAATAGAGAGACCGCAGTTGATAAACATAAAATCTGAGTTATCAGTATTGATTTGATTCTTAAATCGTTTTTTGATGTGTTTGAACATCAAAGAGAAGATGTTACAGATCATTTTGATCCCACACAAAGAAAAAAAAAAGAAGCAAAAGTTGTTGCTTTCAAGTATTTTTTTGGATTTTCCCGGGAAAAACAGTTATTAGATGGACTTTATTTTTTATTGTTTTTAGGCTTTAATAGTTTAGATTTCTTTAATAGCTAATTATTACAGAAATGTAATGATATAACCCGATATTACTTTTTTTAACCACAGGTAGTCCAATATTATAATCTAGCTATCTGAATGTCATGTTTTTGTTTATTAATACTTTACAAATAACATTTTTATCTAGCTAATTAATGAAATACTATATTAATACATAGTTGCAAGTTTTTGTGATACCTTTACATAAAAAATATTTTGTTTATCCAAAATAAATTTAAATATATAACACATTACAAGAAAAAAAAATATGGGTTGACCAATAAACTATAGTAACATAAATGAATTAAATTAAATCATTAAATTGTGTCTTTTAAAAACTATAGTAACATAAATGAATCAAATACATACATTGCAATACCAGAAAAAAACAATCTCATATTTTAATTATTGGAAGTTTAAACACATTGAACAATACACACTCATATCATATTTTAATAACATATGCAATTTTGGAAAATAAACAATTACATTTATCACATTTTTAAAAAATTGAAAACATCTAATTATGAAAAACTAAACACCCGCGCGGGTGCGCGGGTCAAAAACTAGTATTAAATTATCATTGATTTATCAGAATCTTTAGTTAATTTTAAATTAACTTAATTATATTAACTGATAAAATATCATAGATGTATTAAGGTGCATTTATAGATAAAATAAGGGGGTTTTAATAATGTGTACCAAATCCGAAAGATATTATGACTATTATTATCTGATATATATACACATATACATATATAAGTAGATTCTCAAAATGATTTTTTTACATTTAAAACATGACAAGAAAATCAATAGATCATGAAACAAATCAAATTTTAAGTAATAAAATTTAGACCATTTTGAGACATGTGCTAATATTTGTTAAGTTTAATTAACCACATGTCACTATCACTAAAAACTCAATCTTATAGATTTGTTATATAATTGTAGTAAGTATCAAATTTGTTAAGAAATCAGTGCTTTTATGAAATTTGGAAGAAAAAACATGTTGGGATAAAAACGTTGGTTATATATAAAAAGACAGATAGATCTTATTCGGAATTGTAAAAAAGGTTCAGTTAAACCTTTAACAAAAAAATGAGCAGAGAAATTGTGAAAACTCATCTCTTTAATCTCAGGCTTTACAAGGTTGATGTGCCTGGTGAGTCTGATGTTGGAGTTATAATAAGAACTTAAGGAATTAGCGGTGCACATCAGGGTCAGCGGTTTAAATTATCGCGATACATTGGACAAGGGCGAGATTCAAAAGCTGAATTGTCCAAATCATTTGTAAACCTTGTCAAAGATTACTTTTTTTTTTCGTTCAGAGTCCAACGTAACTAAACAGATCTTCGACTACATTGTCTCTAATTTCTCTTTCAAGGATCTTGAGATCGTACCCCCCGCATGTCCCGTCCTCGTCTTTCACTTTCATTGTGCGTATGCTGGTCATAGTGTCCCTGTAGTTGGCATTGTACCATTAGCACGTTGTGTTTTGGGCATGTTGGGAACGAAAGAGTCAGTTCTTAGTGTTGAAGATGCAATAACCAGAATTGTACCAATTGCTCCACCAACGACGGAGATTATAGATTGTTATCAAAGTTCGGACCTGTGCAGTCTCTGTGAGAAAGGATATCCGAAAAAAGATGAGATTGTTCATAAGACAAGATGCAATAACATATTTCATGCTACATGTATCTCTCGTTACTTGTTGAGCACCCCTCAGTGTCCTGTTTGCTCTACTCACTTGCCACCTGTTAACATCCGAACTCTCCTCTTTGTCTAAACTTATATTGTACTACCTATATTCTAATAAATTTTTTGACTCATCTCAGTGTAAGCAATTATACTGTAATTGGTGAATTATGAGAATAACTATACTGTGGACAAATACTTACAAAAGTAATAAAGTGCTCTTTCATAAATACGTTAATTCCACAAAAAAAAACAGACGAGATTCTCCACTTCATACTAACATACTCTATTTTATTTATAACACAAATAGTAATTGCGCACTTTTTCAGAAGTGTAGTTAAAGTTAGAAACTTAATTGATAAACTGGAATTAAGTATTGAATCAGATTAAAAGCAAATTTGGAAAGAGAAGAAAACTAACTGATTTTCATAAATTGATTAGATAGAAAAAATAAACTTATTTGAAATGCTGCTGAGAGGGGAGAGTGGTGAGGAAGTACGAAGAGAAATGAAGAAGATAAAGAAAAAAATGCGGGGAGGGAGGAGAAGAGATTTTATTGTAACCATAAAATAGAATCTATATATATAAAGTATAGTTTTCTCCCTCTTGGGAGTGCCACCTCAGTAAATAGGTTAAGGAAAACTTGCCACGTGTCTTTTCTGTTTCACATCTGCCTGTGATCACTAATGGACTTCAGACGACTGGACATGTGGGCTTATAAACAGAACATCCCAGCCCAGCACCCTTTTCATCTTCTACCTTCTGTCGAGATAGATGTTTAGGGTTGTCGACAGAACATCTTCTACCTTCCGTCGACATCAAATGTCGAGACTTGAGATTTTTTTCCAGAAAATCGACTTTGGAGCTCCAGTTGTGTTTCGGGGCTGATTAATGTTGGCCAATCTCAACATACTCCTCCTGGACCCTAAGGTAATTCCGGCAAACATAAAAAATAAATCTCTTTTCTTTTTAATGAATATATTTGAGACTTACAATTTTACGATTCAGTAATCTTTTGTTTTAAAAGTTCTTTTATGCTGATGTTGTTGTGTCAGTGTGGTGCAGTATCTATGTCTGTATGAGATGATCATGGGAGGTTCTAGGTAAACTCAAATCCCACATTTTTATTTTTAAGGGTTTAGTCACTTCGTATAAATGTTAAGAGACGTGTTTGAAGGCCATAGAACAATATGGGGACATCATTGTTTTCACATCAAATTTTAAGCCATTGAAAGCTACACTTTCAGGACTTCCATACCGGGTGGTTATGATCTCATTGTCTGTCCAAGCACCAATAAAGTTCTTAGTGTAGGAGATTATTCACCGGAAAAAAATCCAGGTTTCACTATCAAAATGGTCTATATTCTCTGAAAATAAACACAGAAGATATTATACAATTTGGAGATAACTTTTCTTTTGTTTCAATATGACAGAGATTTAGGGTTGCAGTAAAAGCAGAAGTAGCCAACTACAGTGTGTGTATGTGATTTTTCTAATCCTATGGTAATGAAATAGAGTGCATGTGAGTTAAGGGAGGAGCTATACAGAGTCACCTTAGAGAACAAGAAGCTAACATGGATGCTAGCAAGAGTGTACGAGAAATGCTATGCATCATCATTCAGAGAAGCTTAGAGTCAAAGTATCCCTGAAATAGATAAGATCGAGCAACAAACAAAGAACAAAAAAAAGATCCGGAGGAGTTATTATGGTTTCCTAATAGATTCATGTAGTGGAAAAACTGACAAAAATCAACTTCTTTCAAGCAAAAGACCAATCACAGATAGCTTCAACAAAGCAAGGTTTTCAACAGATTTTGTGTTTGCTGTTACTCCCGACACAAGCTTGGTAAGTGTTTTGTTGCATTGTCTTTTATGTTTGCAAACGAAGCATAAAAACTAAACAGAGTTATGCTGTGGAATACCTTTGCATACAGTAAAAGATGGGTATCAATGAGGGAAGCATGGACATAAGTTAAAAGAGATACCCCTTTGCATAGAGCTTACATTAGGTGTTCGTTACCTGTCTTGGCCACTAAAAAGGGAAAGTTTGTTCACACGCATTGAGTTTAATTTTCATTTGTTATCGTTTAAATCTGCTACTTCAGTTGTTTTATGATAATCTTTTGACTCATGTTTTTGCTGTTGTTCAGGTGCAACGCATCACAGATAAATCCATCCGTTTTATGGCTACATACGAAGGGACGCATAACCACGTAGGTCCAAACCCTTCTAAAGGGAATGTTACAAGACAAGTTGGATCAAGCACTCTGACATTGGATATGTTTAATGGTGAGCATGGATTAGCTTTAGAGAAGAACGAAAGGGGAATGATGCAAGAGGTTTTGGTTCAACAAAGGGTATCTTCATTAACTGAGATTCAAAGTTTTCTGCAGATCTTGGGTTGCTATCTAGGAGGTTGATGGAGCAGTCTAGAACATGAAGCTTTCATTGAATGTATTTGTTTTGGTATCTCATCCATGGAAAATAGGATGGTGTGTTCTACTCTTTCAAATCGTAGATGTTACTTGATAAAAAGACGAAAACTTAAGTGGATATAAATATTATTACAAGTACATGAAAAATAATAAACATTCAAGGAAACTTAAATGTCATTTGTTTTTAAATGTTATAATAAAGTTGATTCAATTGAAACAATTAAGGGGAAGAGATATGTGATAATTTGGTCTGTGTATACTATGATCTTCGCTTGGAAGCAAGAGATCTATATATACATGCTACAATAGTACAATAATATGTTACACATATTTGTCTAAAGATTTATTTGTTTTTCAAACAGTGACTCATATATTTTCATTAGGTCAATGTGNATAATAAAGTTGATTCAATTGAAACAATTAAGGGGAAGAGATATGTGATAATTTGGTCTGTGTATACTATGATCTTCGCTTGGAAGCAAGAGATCTATATATACATGCTACAATAGTACAATAATATGTTACACATATTTGTCTAAAGATTTATTTGTTTTTCAAACAGTGACTCATATATTTTCATTAGGTCAATGTGATCAAACTTTTAAACAAGTATAAATATTTTAAAATACAAAAGGTCACTATAAAAGTATTATACAACTTATTTTTTTTTTTTGAAAAAAAAAATATATATATATATATATATATATATACATTGATTCGCTTTTCCACTATCTAAGTCTATAGATTTGGAAGAAAATGTATAGGAAAATATTTAACTATCAATGGATAGAAATAATTCATTATTCCTGTATTTAATTTCAACTGTAACTTTGAATAACTTATTTACTTATTTAATTAATAAAGCAATCATTACAATGAAAATAGTTACACTAAGTAAAAAAAGCAAAAAAAAAAATTATTAGTTAATTAAGTTTATATTTTTAACAAAATAACAAAACCAAATAGTCACTTTTATTGAAAATTAAATATTTCTAAATGTCTATAAAACTTAAAGATATTATTTAAATTTTTTCATTCGCTTACCCGCCCGTAGGGCGGGTTTACCCTAGTAATATATATTATAATATTAATTTCTACTAAAGTTTCACTTAGGCTTCGAATGGTAAAAGCAAATCAAGCGGTTCATGCAGATCAAGCAGGACAAGTGTAGATCAAGTGGGACAAGTGCAGATCAAGCGGATCATGCAGGAGAGATGCATGTCAAACAGTTTATCATAAATTTATGAATTACAAAATTAGTTCAAAACTATAGATCATATATTAAAAGAATAAAATTATACCAGATATCAAAATAAATATTTTAAATGTTGTAGGATCAATCGAAATGTTTATTAAATTTTGCATAAGATGCTTGTACGGCTTCTATTTGCGTTTTAGTTGGTCAAAATTATTTTTGAAGAACATACATCTTAATATTTAATTCTTTGTTGATATTTATATATAGAAATGGAGATCAAACAGATTAAATAACTTATTATAACTTATAAATGACAAAATATATTCAAAACTATATATCATATATTAAAATAATAAAACTTACACCAAATATCAAAAAAAATATTTCAGATGTTGTAGGTTCAGTCGAAATGTCTGTAAAATTTTTATTAGATGCTTGTACTTATTCTATTTATTAATTATTTTAAAATATAAAAAATATTAATTACTTTCTTTGCTGACATTTATGTAGAAAAAATTATATTTTTCGTGGAAAATATTGTGTTTTTGGCGATTATACATCATGCTTATAATTTTAAAATGACACAAATAATATTAATGTGAACTATATAGCTTGAGTTAATAATTGTACATTATTTATAATAAATATATTTTAAAGTTAAGTGTTTGTAATTTGTAATATAACTATTTATTAGTAAAAGAAAAAATAAAACAGATCAACACCACCAAATGTTAGCGGATGAGATCTGCATGCAGATCTCCTGCTTTTTCTACTAAAAGACAAAAAAATTGAACTGCATGCAGATCTCCCGCTTGAACTACTTTTGCAAACAAATAATGGTGAATGGTAAACATATTGCACGAGGACTGCCTATTGCAGGAGAACTGCATGATATGCCTTTGTCCTGCCCCTCCCATTCATAACCTTATTCTTCATCGGAGATGTATTGTTTTTGGCAAATATGATTTTTTTTGGATAAAGAAATTTCATGAAAAGAAGTTTTTCTAGGAGATACATGTATAAAAACAGGGTTGGCTGCATATCCCCCCCCCCCTAAATACACTAACCCTACTTATTCCCCCCAATCTATCAAGCTCTTCGTAATCCCACCCAATTATATACTTTCTCTTTAAATATCTCCCTAAACTTTTTTAATCCCCCTTTCAAATCAATTTCCAAATCGTGATTAGTAAAATTAAAATAGCGTTTAGAAAACTGATTGCCCGACTAAATAGATCCAGATCCGACCCATAATTAAAAAAAAATCCAATTTAATTGAAAATCTAATTAAAATTAGAATTTAATTGGGGCTTAGGTTTTTCTATTGCTTCCCGACACAAAACGACAGACAAGAAAAACAACTGAAAAGAGAGAGAGATGATGACATGGAGAGAGAGAGATGACACGAGAGAGATGACGAGAGGGAGAGATAGATGACGAGAGGGAGAGAGAGATGACGAGAGAGAGAGAGAGATGACGAGAGGGAGAGAGAGATATGACGAGAGAGAGATGACGAGAGGGAGAGAGAGAGATGATGAGAGAGAGAGAGATGACAGGGAACATAGAAGAGAGAGGGATAGAGAGAGAGAGACCAGGGAATAGAGAAGAGAGAGACAAAAACAAAGATGATAGAGAGAAAGAGAGAGAAAGGACTGAGATAAGCTAATGCTGAGGAGAGAGAGACATTGAGGAATGATGAAAGGGCTGTGGTTGTTGGGTATGGAGAATTTTTAAACTTGTTTAACTAAGATTTCGTATTTGTTTATGTCTGGGTTGAGTTTGATTTTTTTCTTACAGAGATGACGATACAGAGGACGAGAAAGACATGAAGTATGGAAAACTAGATAAGATGGATGAAGTTGAGGATACTCTTGGTCGATTTGAGTATGAGATAGAGGAATCAGTAGCTGATTTTGAGGATGAGATTCCAACTGAGAGAAACGAGATTCGAGAGAGTTCAGATGACTCCTTTGAGGATGAGATTGATGTGTGTGAGGAGAGAATGAAAAGAAGAAGTGATGATAAATTAGCTTTGGGGAGTAGCTACTACACTTTGTATGAGTTTAAAGAGGTTGTCTTAGAGTATGCTTTGAGCAAGAAAAGAAATATTAAGCAAGATAGGTGGGATAAGACAAAAGTCTCATATGTGTGTGGCATTGGTGGGAAGTGTAAATGGCGGATTTATTGCTCCTATGATATTGAAAATCAGAAATGGTTGTTGAAGACGAAGTATGGGTATCATAGTTGCACTCCAGATGGTAAATGCAAGCTGTTGAAAAGTCCGGTAATTGCAAGATTGTTTTTGGATAAGCTGAAACAGAAAGCGGATTTGATGCCTGAGGAGATTCAACAGATTATAAAGGAGAAGTGGAAAATAGTTAGTACACGAAATCAGTGTCAAAGAGTCAGACTTTTAGCTCTGAAATGGCTTGAGAAAGAGTATGAGGAGCAAATTTGAATCACCAAAAAAGAAGAAGAAGAAGAGGGAAGTGGAGAAGCTTGGAAGGGCAGGTCGAACTGTCCATTGTAGTTCATGTGGCGAGGCAGACCATAACGCAAATGGTTGTAAAGTCCATCCAAAGAAGAAGATGAAGAAGACACACCAAATCACAGAAGAGGTATAATATCAACTAATTTTTTTTTTTTTTTTTAAATTATATATATCCTAATGTTTGGTTTTGTGGCAGGGTACTTCTTCTTATGTCCATGAAGAGATCAGACTTACACAACCTACTCAATCTACTCAAGCTCAAGACTAGTTATTTAAAATCGAAAACTCTATTCTAAAGTATTTTTGTGGCTTTTGTTCTTTTTTAAAACTCTAAATAAAGTTCTTTTAAACTCTAAGTTAATGTACTTTTGTGTCTTTTGTTGTTCTTTGAAACTCTAAATTAATATATTTTGTGTCTTTTGTTGTCGATTTTTTCATGTTCTAATACAACCTCATCTCACAGAATTTAAATGAGAGCAGAGAGTGAACAACAAAAGATAGATTAATATCCACAAAAATAACTATAAAAGACAGATTTATGTTCCACATAACTCAAAAACATCTTACACAAAGACAACAACAAATGAGAATTCATGTTCCACCAAACTCCAATACTATCTTACATAATTCATAAAGACAAACAAACTACTCTATTCAGTGCTGGTGCTTCTACGCAGAGACTGCAGCACCACTGCCTCCACCTTAAGAGGCTGCAGCACTACTGTAGGGGAACTCTTCAGATTCCTAAGGGGGAAAATCGAAGGTAAGGATCCAAAAACAAGATCTGGAGGAAGCAAAGTTGGGATTGGAAACGCTCCAGCAGGTGGAAAGCAAGGAATGGCTGAAGCTCTTGCTGAGATAACAAAGAAGTAAAAAAAAAATCACATTGACACAGTTTATCACACAACAAAAACTGATATGCATGGCTTTTATGTTTTGATGATTATAACGCAGGTCAGCTTATTTTCAGCAAATAGAAGCTTATGTAAATGTATATGAAAGCTATCATTGAGCTCAAAACAGATATTTCCAACTTCAAGAGCAAGGACATGGCAGAGCTTCAGAAGTTCCACCTGTATATAGAATCAGTGCTTGAGAAACTAACAGATGAAACAAAGGTCAGTTCCAACAACAACAAATGTGATAACATCAAATATAACAAAACTCTCTCTCCCTCTCGTCATCTCTCTCTCTCGTCATCTCTCTCTCTCCCTCTAGTCATCTCTCTCGTCATCTCTCCCTCTCATCATCTCTCTCTCTCTCTCCCTCTCGTCATCTCTCTCTCTCCCTCTAGTC